TCAAACTAGGAAAATGGGAAAAAAAGAGACCTGAAACACAAGGAGTTCTAGGAGAATGGGAGACCTAGCCGTTCATAGATCTGGAGTACCAGAAAAGTCTATCAGCTCATTTAGCTTGACCTTCTGCATAGCAAAGGACATAGAAGTGCATGCAACTTCCCATGCGGTTGAGCCTCAGAACTTGCGTTTATCTAAAGCATATCTACCAGAAAGCCTTGAAAGGAAGGACCCAAGAAATGCAGAATCCCACAGACAATGCAGTCATTGAATCATAGACTCATAGAATACCAGGTTGGAAGGGTCCTGAAGGATCATCTGGTCCAACCTTTCTTGGCAAAAGCACAGTCTAGACAACATGGCCCAGCACCCTGTCCAGCCGAATCTTAAAAGTGTCCAAAGTTGGGGAATCCACCACTTCCCTGGGGAGATTATTCCAATGGCTGATTGTTCTCCTTGTGAAAAATTTTCCTTTTGTGTCCAATCTGAATGTCCCCAGGAGTGACTTGTACCCATTACCCCTTGTCTTTTCCATGTGACTACTTGTAAAAAGGGAGACTCCATCTTCTTTGTAGCCACCCTTTAAATACTGGAACATGGTGATAAGGTCTCCCCTAAGCCTCCTTTTCTCAAGGCTGAACAAGCCCAGTTCTCTCAGCCTATCTTCATAGGGCAGGCTTCCCAGCCCTTTGATCATCTTTGTGGCCCTTCTCTGGACCCTCTCCAGCCTGTCCGCATATTTTTTGTAGAGCGGGGACCAAAACTGAACACAGTATTCCAGGTGTGGCCTGGCAAGTGCTGAGTGGGATAATGACTTCTTTATCTCTACTGGTGATGCCTTTGTTGATGCAACCCAGCATCTTGTTGGCTTTCTTTGGTGCAGCAGCACACTCTTCACTCATATTGAGCTTGTTGTCCACCAGGACCCCAGGTCCCTTTCCACAGAGCTGCTCCCCAGCCTGGGCTGCACTCCTGGGTTATGTTTTCTCAGGTGCAAGACATTGCATTTGTTGTGGTTGAACTTCATAAGGTTCTTGTTAGCCCACTCTTCCAGCCTATCCAGGTCTTCCTGCAAGGTCGGTCAGTCGTGTCCCTTCCTTTTTATGGGCAAATGCTTCATAGGTTTAAGATGAGGAAATGGTGGGGTCTGAATTGTGCTAAAGAAGAAGAACACAGAACAAAGAGTGAGAAGGGCATTTTGTTTGCCAAAGTTGCACTTCTATGTTCTGAACAGATGGCTGACAATGACCTGAGACCTTAGAAAATTGAATCGATGAAAGAAACGTGTTCAGATTTAATTATATATAATTGCACAAGGCACAGAAAGGGTAAAACTAAGCCACAAGCCTCAGTTTATTGAGTGAATATATGTGGCAGGAGCACATAAAAAATTCACACTTGTTCAATTTTATGAAATTTCCATCACAAAACCTTGTACTGACTGAATAAAATAAAACCCACATTTATTTTCTTTTTTTATTTCATAATTAAGCAATTTCAGACATTTGTTCAATGTCTGATCCTCATTCTCATTTCTTAGAATAACTGGCTTGAGTTTTATGGTATTTGGTAGAATAGAAAAGAAAGTGATCATTAGGAAAACTTACTTTATGAGCTATGAAGTGACTGACCAATAGAAATCTCTGGGACCCGTGCAGCTCATTTTCTACATGTTTCGGAAAAAAATTCTGTTCTGGTTCAGTCGGTCACTGTGAAGCAATTGTCACATGTGCACATGTATGTTAGATATCTTTTAATCATCCCCTTCAAAAGTTTGACAGAATAATACCACTGTCATGTGAACCAAGGATATATTTGAGTCAAAGATGCCACATCATGCAAGGGTTGTATGTGTAGACATAGAGAGATTGAAAAGTAAACCATACTTAGGAAAAAAAATAAATAATTGCTGCTCTTCTACATAACTAGTTATGCTGAAATTCTGAACAAATTTGATGTTGTACTGGGTCTGGCTGAGATGAAGTTAACTTTCTCTGCAGCAGCTTGTATGGTGCTGTGTTCTGGATTTGTGCATAAAACAGTGTTGATACCACGCCAGTGTTTTGGGTATTGCTGAGCAGCGCCTGCACAGAGTCAAAGCTTTCTCTTTTTCCCCCAGTCAGTAGGCTGAGGGTAGCAAAGAAGTTGGAAAGGGATGCAACCAGGACAGTTGACCATTGGCCAAAGGGATACTCCATACCATGCAACACCATGCTCAGAGCAGTAAATCTGGGGTAGAGAAAAAAGAAGGAGTGGGGTCAGCGCAATGTGCTCAAAGCCCCGTCCAACCTGTCCCTGCCTTGACATTCAGGGGCTCGGGAAATGTGGGAAGAGCAATTGCTAGTGAAAACTGAGACAAAAAAGTTGTTGAGTACCTCAGCCTTCTCCGTGTCAGTTGTCACCAGATCCTCTGTCTCATTTATTGGGGGGGGGGTACAATTTCATTTTGTCTTCCTTTTCTGACTAACGTGCCTGTTATCGGATGTTCATCCATTTCTGTTAAGGTACAAATACCAATCATTTTACCCAGATGCCCCTGGTTGAAGAATATACTTAATCTGTAGACTCAAAAATTCTTTCCAATGGAAACTGGAATGAAGACTCAGAACCAGCAACATAACTGACATGCTGCCGTGCAGCCTCTGCCCACCTGCAAAGCTCTTTTCATTGACATACTTCATGTTTTTTCAGTCCATCAGTCTCGCAAATAAGTTTCCTCCCCTTTGGTTTATGAGAGTCAGGTTGCTTGGGGATGGGTCAGCACAGTCCATAGATGCTGTACTGTCTTCTCTAACTTTTAGCATGTCAGCAGGTACGTGCATTGAAAAATGGCCTTTGATGAGAATATTTTTCTGGAACGCTTTTCCTTCCCTAACTATAAGATTAAATATAAAAATATAATATGAATTTTTACAAATTGTACTCTTTCTTACTTTCATATCAGAGTGAATAATTTTCTCCAATAATTACGAATTTCATTGTAAGTCTTTCAGGCTGTGATACGGATTTCAGTTTAAAGCCATGCATAAAGCTAGACTATGCAGGCACAGAACTTCTACTTGAAATATCTCTATTTGCCCATTCTTTTTACTTTCTCTTTTAAAGGAAGAATAATCTTCCTTTAAAAAATTAGAGATGCTTCCATCCAGAAGACCAAGAGCTTGCAAACAAAGAAGCATTCTTGCAGAGGTTTTCAAAATCCTGGGTGGGGTTGTACTCAAGGTACCCACGAGCAATATCAACAGTGCCATCGGTTGCCTCAGAATGAGACGAAAAGTCCACTAAGGGGTTCTCATTTTACAGCCTTGCAGACTTCTGGGAAGCAATTCAAGCCTGACAGTGAAGTGATCGGAGGTGGTTCTCCAAAGCAAAAAGTAAAGGAGGATTACACACACCCCTTTGAAAATAGGCTTGAACACAACATACAACTTAAGTACTGGAGAGATTTCACTCTAATTCCTAATTTGCCTGAGTTTATTGGCAGAAACGCTGAAGTTATAAGACATAATAACATTAAAATGAAACCTCTTTATTTCTTTAACGGCAAGCTTTGGCTCATACAGATTTTCTGTCTTGTAAAGTGCAAAAGGCCAAACAGACTAAGTTCGTGGCTTATGAAAGGCAGTTCATTCAAGAAATGAAATTATTTTATTCAGCAGAGAACAGAGACTACAACAGCAATAGAATATGCTCTTAATTTTTTCTTTTAGAAATAGCCAATTTTGCAGAAAAAAAATCAAAGGTATCAATTGTATAATAAATTTGGTTTGAAAGAACATTCTCGGTAAAAAGTTTATTCCTATCCTTCCAGTTTTCATAAAAATGCATTTAATTCAGTCTGACATAACCTTGTGAAAATCTATAAAGCCATGTACAAAAATATTTCCACTACTTATCAGTATTGTTACTGGTAATGTTCATGGAGTGGTGCTTCTAACCACAATTTAATAGCCTTGCTGAGTAAGATTTTTATAAAACTGTGTTTTATTAATTCAACCAAACAAGAAGCCACAGCTGTACTGGAACACTGAGACCATAATTGGGCACCTGAGATTTTTCAGAAGAATTAAAATGGCGCTGTGACTTTTCTTTTTTGTATGTAAGAAAAACAAATTAAATGGGACTCTTGGTTGTCTTTACTTCTGTCTGGTATCCTGCTTTGTGAATGCTGTCATTGATAATCTGTTTTCTGGTAACCCTTTCATCTGATGTTTTGCCACTATAATATGATTTACAGCCCCAAATTATATAAACTAAATATCAGTAGGAAAGTCAAAATTATATTTCTTCATTCCAAAATCATCTATATATTATTAATAATAAGTATCAATTATATAGTTTGCCAAGGATGACCTGGAGGAATGGCTAGTAGAGTCTAATGGATATTTGTAAAATTTCTAAACATGTTTTGAATCATCCGCTATAAATAGAGCACGGTAATGCTTGCTAAGAATCCATTTCTTTTTCAGCCATAAAATCTCACATAGGTCATTACCACTGCATTATTAGTTCATTGTAAAAATTAATTGCCTCTCAAAAGGAAAAAAATGCAGACTTCTTCTGCACCACTTTTTTATCCAAATGCATATTCCCCTAAAAAAAAAAAATATGGAAACTGGAAAGCTGCAGAAATAAAAAATTAATGTCATTGTTTCAGGGTCTGTTGATGTTTTCTTCTAAAAGCTGGTGAAAGGTTTTTCCAATATAATTGAAATTATTAGTGGAAATGAAAAATCCTCTTCAAGGATATAATTTATTCTCGGTTAAATTTTACAAGCTAAACTGATTTGACTTCCCGTCACATGCTGTAGAAACTTTCCACAATGTCTTCCTTGGAAATACTTTAACTCCTACTCAAGTTAGAAGGAACCGAACGGGCTTATAAATTCTGAAAGGTGGCTGAGCAGTATCTATTTCTAGTAAATATGACTCCTTTCTGTTTAGGAAGTATATGTGAATTTGTTTACAATGTAAGATGGGTTCCCTTTTGCTTGGTGTTTCAGCTGCTACGGAGGTTTCCTTTTCATTTGATGTTGGAAATGGGCCGGTGGAAATTGTCGTTAGATCTCCCAACCAGCTCAATGATGACCAGTGGCATCGGGTCAATGCCGAGAGGAATGTCAAACAGGCCAGCCTGCAGGTAGACCAGTTACCCCTGGAGGTCCGGAAAGCACCAACAGAAGGACACACGCGACTGGAATTGTACAGCCAGCTCTATGTTGGTAAGGTGCAGAGAGCGTAACCGGGCTTTGCTCTCACATGCTGAACACTGCCTCATGTCTTGCCAGCAGCAGTTAGTTTAATGTGGGAAGCTGCGCTCCTGAAGCACTTGCATGACAGCCCAGGGAGAAAAAAAATGAAAAAAAAAAAAAAAAAGAAGAAGAAAAGACAAGCATGTTCATAGGTACAGAAATAAGAAGATCAACTAAGGGAAAAATATTCTGTGCTGGCAACTTATCATTTTTGTCTTTCCCCACCTGCAGCTCCTGGCTGAAAGTGCCTCTAGCAGGCCATAGCACCAAACTCCTTTTTTGCCAAGTGTCTCTCTCATGCACACACACTTATTCACCACAGAAGTGACAAATTGTGCATGGGTCTTGCCAAGACTGCATGTGCCTGCAGTGCCCATCCTAGCCTCAGCAGCACTTTCAGCCTCTTTAGGTTTGATCATTGCCCGTGCTTTTGCTTTCAGAGCTCTCGCTGCAGTCTTTTCCCTTTAGTCCCATGGGCTGTTTGCCCATTTGATGTAGGAAAGCATCACACAGTGTTACACAAATGCATTCCCTGGAACTAAGTTAGTCCAGCTGCTTTCTGGAGCTGCTGGTCTCCGCTACATTTTGGGCAAGCTATTCCAGCAGCACTTGTATTTCTCTGACTGTTAGCACTGGGGCTGCGAAGTGCAGACATGCCAAGTGCCATTAGCTGGAATTAGAACTGCATGAAATGTTGAGCAAAGAAGTACTTTCCTACCTCTATAGATATCTGTTAACAGGAGAAGAGGGAAGGGGGGAGGAAAAAACCACATTATTTCTTTTTTTTCCCATGTTAGTCAGGGTTCAACAGCAGAAATGAATTAAAATGCTGTTTAAAGCCTTCACTGCCTTAGTAAACAGGAGTGTCACTGCAAACTGTGTATAATGTGTCACCAGATGTGCAGTCATTATTTACAAACTCAGATTCTCCTTTACTGCTGACTGTGATCCCAATAAAAGGCAGTTTCAAAATAAGCTGAAATGTGAAGTTTGTTTAAAAGAGGGAGCCTTAACCTTTTAAAAGAAATACCAAGCCTTTTGCTGAAAACAGGAAGAGCTAGATTTTTTTCCAGCCTGAGTTCTTGGGGAATTGTTAACAATGATGATTTTTATCGGTAGTTTTGAATTAACTGTAACACCAGCAATGTTTTGAAATACCTAGTACCGTTATTGCCAAAAACCAAATGTCCATATTTGCATCAGATTTTCTTTCCTTCTGAATCATGTCCATTTCATATAACTTGGTGATTGGAGCACGCATCTCAAAGAACAGATTTAAATCCTGACCCAGAGTCAGACAGAGAATCGATTTGAGTTGGAGTGTCCCAAATGAACAACCTGAACATTGGGGCCTGGAGAGTAATACCGAACAAGAATTCTTTTGATGCCTCCTGTTCCACTTTCTGTAGAATAAATATCTATTCCGTGGGGCAGTGAGAGAGCCTGAGGAATGATGACTTCATGTCCTAGGGGCTAGGACAGTCACCGGGAGGGGAAAGAAGGGAATTAGATATATTAGGGTTTTTTCATCACTGCAGTGTATATGAGTTTACATAGAATGGAACCACACCAGAATGCCCTCTGCCCTGTACACTCGGCAGAGACCGAACATTGCCTCCTCTTACCCCAGATCATCTGGTTACCAGCAGTTGATTTGAAGCAGCCCTCTCTCTCTGGTTTGTATTTAGTCCTCTTCCCCACTCAGGTAAATATCAGCCTCTGTGCTCTGTGGTGATGAGCGTTCAGATCTCCTTAGGGATTCTTCAGCACCTGCGGCACTACAATAATCAAAGAGATGAGAGGATGAGGAGAAAGGATGACAGCCACTCATTGTTATTTGCTTGCATATTTTAGGGGTTTTTTTGTTTCTAATCCAGCCTCAGATAAGACTTTCCTAGCTGAGATCACATTTTTCAGCAAGTGTTTACCAGGGGGAAAAAAGGAACAGTTCTTATTGACTGCTAAGAAAAGCCATCTCAACCCAGATTTTCAAATGTAGCTCTTCAGTGTTACATCCTTCACCCTATACTCAGGCAACTAAAGAATATACCCAATGTTGCTTGGAAATTTATATCTGTATTTCCTATTGCAGCTGACAGTGGGGATTTAAATCTTTTCCTTCTTTCCCCATCATGGCTTTGAAAAAATGTAACACTGCATAACATATTATGGCATTATTATTAGCATCCATCTTCACTAATCATATGGAGAGTAAGGCTGTACCTTAACAATGGAGCCAAGCCCGTTTCTTCCACTGTTATCTCTAAAAATCTTGAAGTTGAAATGAAATGAAGTCTTAGAGTGGAGGGCTAGAATCTCTAATGTCTAATCAGTGTAAAGCAAACACACCTACTATTTATGCTTACTTATGGTATGGTATCAAAAGATTAGGTTTCATTGATTTCATTGTCATTAGGACAAGGCAATTCCTTGCCTTTACAAAGAAGTTACTTATTTCCAGCTGCTGTCACAAGCTTAGCAGGTTATTTCATGTAAAGCAACAACAATGCGATCTGTTCGGTGTTGTCTCACAGTTTTGCATTCCCTCTCAGGTGCTGCAGGAGGCCAGCGAGGCTTCCTAGGTTGCATTCGTTCATTAAGGATGAATGGGGTGACGCTGGACCTGGAAGAGAGAGCAAAAGTCACGCCAGGGGTGAAGCCTGGCTGCTCTGGCCATTGCACGAGCTATGGGATGTACTGCGCGAATGGCGGTAAATGTGTCGAGAAATACAACGGCTACTCCTGTGACTGCTCCAAAACTGCCTATGATGGACCATTTTGCATTAAAGGTAAATGCTTTAGTGCAGGAGGCAGAGTATGGGAGAACTATCTGCCCAAGAAAAAACACAATAGAATCAATGCTTCAGCTTTTATTAATTAAACAAGTAAATCCTGTTTAATACTTCTTACAAACAAGTCAAATTATACACCCAGGATTTAAATGTGATGATTTAAAACCACATGTCTCATTAGTACTAATATATATTACCTATTTAAATCAAATAACACAACAAGAAAATGCATCAGGAATGC